ACGTTTCAGAAAGGCGGGGCATAGAGGAGAAACAATAATGTACAGTATGTGGAAAATAATGTTTTTTTTTAACCTTAAACTGCATAAACCCATTTCATTACACCAAATACACAAAATAATGTTCTTTTTAGCAACATCATATGACCCCTTTAATGGGTTAGCTCCTGCGTACCTAACTAGTCTTCTACCACACTACAATCCATCACGCTCCTTAAGGTCGCAAAACTCTGGACTTTTGGTAGTACCTAGGATAGCAAAGTCCACTAAAGGAGGTAGGTTGGTTGTTTTCTCTGTTTTTGCCACAGGATTGACATCCTGTGGTAACTAGGATTTACACAAGCTTCAGTCTGGATCCTGAACACCTGAGAAGAGATGATGCCAACCCCTCAGAGGAACACAGATGATGGAAACCCTGAAACAACATACAGAACTACCATATTTTGCTATAAGTTTGATTGCATCATATAATAATTGCTGTTAATAGTTTTCATCGTCTGTTTTATTACGTCTTTAATTGATTTTTCCATACATTTCTGCCATATGTACATTTACTGACAGTCACCACTGATAAGCTACTACTAAATATTATAGAACCTTTATTTGCTGGAAAGTTGCTTTGCAACGATTTGTATCGTGAAAAGCGTTACACAAATAAACTTGAATTGAATTGTATTTAAATGAATCAATATATATATATATATATATATATATTATTATTATTAATTTGATAGTCTTTTCTACAGTTCTCGAAAAACCTGGGCAAACACTGATTTGAAAAACTCCAGCTTTTCCCTGTCTGTTCAGCCTCCAGAGCTCGAAGGTGTTTGACAGAGCCTGTGCAACAGATTTATGGCAAAAAATGAACAGCTGTTGGAGTTTAATTTATTTTTTGCCGCTTGGCTGGCTCCTTTCTTTCTTTGTCCAGTACGGGCCCAATCATTTTCTGGAACTGTAGCTAAGGGGTTTGTTTTTTCCCCCCTAAATGACGACGTTAGTACATTTCGTTTTCCAGTCCTATTTGATCTACATTTAATCCCGGTTAATTTTCAAAATATAACATCTACATAATGTATTTTCAAAATTGTTTAAACCATTTAGAAAAGGCCCTTCAGTCAAACACTTTCCTTGGCACTGTACAAATTGCTCTGTGAAAAATTCCACCGATTCACAGAAAATGAGAGGCACAGCAGGTAGGCTACTGATATCTTTAATGTTCCATGACAAGAAATTGGAGACATTCCTCAGTGGACACTGCAGAAACCAATAAACCACTCGAGTCTCTTAATACCACAACCAGGGACACTTTGGTGAAACCTTCTGCACCAAATGAAAGAAAATGAGGAAAAATGATTATTAGAACTATATTTCTTCTACCTACTAAGAAAATAAATAATTATATAAATAAATATTGTTGAGATTGTAAGGTTTAATTACAGTTCTTTTTCTGCCTGGAAAGGGAAAAAGCAATTATTTTAAGCAATTGCAAATTAAGCTTGACCTTTAGAATGAGCCCTGGTGTTTCACAGTCAATGAACTAATTGCTCTGCGTGTGTAATAGGGCACAGAGAAAAAGAACAGTGAAAGAGCAAGAAAGAGAGAGAAGAAGAGAGATTTACACAAACAGGCCTCCAAACGATCACCCACTCACATATGCACACATATAAATCACCTTCAGTGAAGGCTGATTACTATTCATTTGTTTAATACACACTTGACAGCTAAGACACTACACACAGGGAAGACACATCACAAATGAGATGCCTTTAATTTCACGTTTGTTTCTCCTAGACAGCAATGGGATTAAGTGGAGAAGTCTGTTGTTTCTCAGATTTGTCTTCTGAGAAGAGAAAGCAGTAATCTCACGTCTCCTCTAGAGTTTTACAAAACCTGTGCTCAGATTTGCCAAGATATCAAAGTCTGCAATTAAAAATCAGATATTGAAATATTACTATGTAATAATATTATGAACTTCGATTTTTTATCAATGACTACAATGTCTACACATTTTATGGCACTATAATTTTATGCCATTTCTAAAGTATAGTCTAAGGAGAAACATCTAAGACAACTTTACCTCACTTTAAGGTGAGATAATCACCTTTTTTTGTCACTGGTGGCACCAAACAGTCAAACACAATTAAAAAAATAATTACATAAATGAAGTATAAAATCAGGAATAAAATCATTCCTTTGCATATAAATATGGTGTCCAACTCAGTGTTGTTACTGATAAATAAAACCGACACAAACTGAAACTATTAAAAGTAATTTTCAGTAACTGAAACATAAATAAAATAAAACATAAATATTAGCTGAAAAACTTACGAGTTAATGAGAAACAAATGAGTTTAAGTTGAAACACTAAAATTACTAAACCTGTAATTATTATAAATTAAAGGTAAATAGACACATTAAAAAACTAACAAAACTGACAGTGTCAAACTAAATTAAACAAAAATAAAAAACTGTAAATAAAACAAAAATACAATCTAAAATAAAAAAAATACAAGCTAATTTCAAAGTATTTAGTATTAATAAATGCTATAATACCGTAATATGCATGTGTGTGTGTGTGTGTGTATACAGTATATATATTCACACGCTCACACACATATGCAAACACACACACAGGGTTTTTTATGTAGTTGTATGTCATTTATATAATGTCCTTGAGCTGGGAAACTAGGACAGAGTTATATTTACACTGTAAAACAACTCTGGTCCACACCACAGGGAGTTAATTTTTCTTCAACACCAGAGTAAAGAGTGACAATTTAACACGATTAAGTTTTAATTCCAGTGTAAGGAGTTGACATTACTGTACTCCAACCAGGTTAGATTAGGAGAGTTGACAGTAACTGTCAGGAAATAATTTGTGACAACTTGCAGAGTTACATTGAAAACAACACTGAGTACATCAAAACAATCCATAAAGTTAAATTCAACTTTAGTCTGGGATCACAGGCTAAAGGCAAAATGCAAACAGTTGTTTTAAACCACCCAGCTTCCTGTTCCCCATGAGAGGGGTGGGTGGTCTGGGGTTTTGATTGCATACTGAGCCTTTGGAGCCTGTTTTAGGCTCATGCTGCTGACACATCTCCCTCTGAGTGGCTGAAACCATGTTGGGAGATGACATGTTGTTCCTCGCGCATCTACTGGTCAAGCCCTGACAAATCACTCCATCTTTCTTCAATTGATGAAACACGGTTGGCAGATATCTCAGCATGCCTGACTTTCTAGACTGGTTTATTCTGGTTAGAGCTGCACTTAAAAAAAAAGTTTTGCTTCAAATATATGTCCTCAAAGATTGCAAGAAATCAAAATGAGATCTTTATGGCTTTAGCCCATGTGTGTGAACAAAAAATTCCCTTTTAGCAGATATACACAATTAAAATTCACAGTCTTTTTATTCCAGGAAAATGAGTTAAAAATATTGATGACTCATCCTGTACTACATAGATTTTTGGTCTCTCCCTGTGCAACCGACTAGCGAATATCAAATCATGTGGATGAACCCTATATTTTCCTATTTCACTGAAATACATCAATGAGAAAACTGCACTTGTCAAGCCATTTCATATGCTATTTAACTAAGCTGATAAAATTTAACAGAGTTGTTGGCAGAAAATATATTGATTTTATAAGGCAGTATTTCAAAACAAAAATATGTTATTTAAGGCTGATCTTTTAAATTTGTGCTTTTGTATATTCACATGTAAATTTACAAAAAAAACATTTAAAATAAATATATTAATATCAATAAATCAACCAATAAATGCTGTTATATTTAAGTTTCTGGTCATCAAATAATCCTAGAAAAAAGAAAGAAACAAAGTACCATGGTTTCCACAACAATATAAGGGAGTTCTGACACTGTTTTGACATTGAAGACA